TGAATTATACATCTTGAATAATATCTTCAAACCCTAGTCTTCCCATTTACGATTATTACCTCTACTATCTCTATCACTACTGGATTTGATTTGACATTTGCCTCTCTGTGCCAATGTGGTATGGCAACCTGAACTTATCAACATACGTACAAAGTTCTACGTTGCAACCGACTGACTTATTGTGAATATGGTAATCGATTGTTTTTGGTTGTGTTATTTGGCAACTATGTAAGAAGAAATAACTTTCTTTCTATTGCTGTATCTATTGCAGATGGAAAGAAGATTGTGGCGAATTGAACGAATGATTCAGCAGCAATCCAGATATGTAAGTATCCATTTTAATAATGCTTGTTTGTGTTGAGTAGATGTGAATGTAGTGGAGATAGTCGTTTTGGTAAATGTGGCGTAAAATGTTTTCCACAAGTGTAACTGCATGTTGATTGCAGTGAATATTTGTTTTAAAGTTGTACTTAGTAAACATCAGCGTGATAAACATTTGTAAATTGTGTTTTGTTGGACATTCTGTCACTATTTATGTGACGTTTGTGAGTCAGTCAGTCAGATGCAACGTAGAACTTCGTACGTAAGTACATCAGTTCATGTCGCCATACCACATCAACACAGAGATATAATTGTCAATTCAAATCCAATAGTAGAAGAGGTAGTAAAGGTATTAGAAGTAATCGGAGAGGTTAGGATTAGAAGATATTATTCATGAAGTATGATTAAATGAGATAAGTTTAGAAAGTAAAAACTAGAGGTGTTGAAGAATCCAGAAGATTAGGATTTGAGAGAACACAAAGAATAAATGCACTGGCGCCATTGCGAACGATTTTGAGCCATGTCATTCAAGGTCTCTAACCATCGATTATTATCATCTCGCGGACCCCAACCAGGTAGTCGACAATTACCGACATGGCTAAGTCCATTCGTCAATGACTTCATGGATTTCTGCCATGTTTTGGTCTGGCCGCCCCTAGCTTTCTTCCAACCTATTCCTACACTACAAAACAAAGCTCGACGAGGGAGTCGCTGGTTAGGCATACGCAACACGTGTCCCAACCACCTCAACTGATGAAGTTTCACCACTTCATCGATTGATCTGCCATTCTTACCTAGCACCCGATTCCTAATAACAGCGTTGCTCACTCGGTTGTCCCACGATATACGAGCAATGCTTCGAAGACATCTATGATCGAAAACCAATAACCGACGAGTATCTTCTACTCTCATTGGCCATGTTTCACAGCCATAAAGTAAGACGGAGCGAACCACTGCGCAGTACACTCGTCCTTTAGTCAGCAGACGGATATCTCGCCTACGCCATAAGTGACGCAGGTTGGCGAAAGCCAATCGAGCCTTCTGTATCCGTGCCGAGATTTCGTCAGTCACCAGGCCATCGGCACTGATGAGACCCGAGATAAGTGAAGCGGTCTACACGTTCGACTACTTCACTCCCTATCACTAGTTCAGGTGCCGTTGCAACCCAATCTTGAAACAACATTTTGCATTTCGAGGGGGAAAACCGCATCCCGAACATGCTTGCATTGTTGCTTAGGGTAGTCAGAAGACTCTGCATTTTGTCAGCGTCTTCACCAAGTAGGACAATGTCATAGGCATATTCTAAGTCAGTAAGCGAGCCACCTGGTAAAAGGTCTACTCCAGAAAATTCAGACGAGGATAAGGTTATTTCTAGGAGCATGTCTATGATAAAATTAAACAAGAATGGAGAGAGTGGACATCCCTGACGGACACCACTTGATGTAGAGAATTCCGGTGACAGTTCGCCATAAGCTCTCACTCGACCAGTGGTGTTTGAGTAGAGAGCTTGTATGAGGTTAATGTACTTATTTGGTACACCTTTCAATGACAGACACTGCCACAGAACCTCACGATCCACTGAGTCAAATGCCGCCTTAAGGTCCAGGAAAACAACTATTGTAGGACGCCTAAATGTGTGTCTGTGTTCCAAGACCTGTCGTAGTGTGAAAATGTGGTCTATACAGCCACGTCCAGGTCGAAAACCAGACTGGTTTTCTCGAGTCTGCTCTTCACGAGCTTTCGTTAAGCGTCGAAGTATTATTGAGGCCAATATTTTAGATACTATATTAGTTAGACTTATTCCCCTGTGATTGTCACAAGAAGACTTCTGTCCTTTCTTATAGATTGGGACAATCAGTGATTGAGACCAGTCGGATGGGATTACGTCCAGTTCCCAGATTCTACCTAAGATCTCAGTCAACCTAGTTGCTAAAACTGGACCACCATCCTTAAATATCTCAGGGGTCAGTCTATCAGGACCTGCAGCTCGTCCTCGCTTCAGATTTCCTAAAGCTTTTTCAACTTCATTAAGACTAGGGGGACTTACGTCGATTTGCCATTCAGGATGACTGGAGATCGTGGGTAACCGAAGAGTGGCTCGAGGCCAGTTGAACTGATCCCTAAAGTGTTCTGCCCATCGATCCAGTCTCCTGGATTGAGAATAAATGAGAGTCCCGTCATTTTCTGAGATAGTCTCGCTTACAGTAGGATTCCTAATACCAGTTTCCTTGATAAGTCGGAAAAGTTGTCTACTGTTGCCTATCGCCGCTGCCTTTTCCATCGCTTTTGCTTTCGCCACCCACCACTGTTCGCGATCGTTACGTAGGCTTTTTATAAGTCTGCGCCTAAGTTGACTTCGTTCTTCATCATGTTCAGAGCCAGGTGGGATGAGTTTTCGGGCATCCATCAGATCGGTGGATGCTACTGAGATCCACGGTTTCATTCTAGCCTTATGGTCAACCTTACTAGCAGATATCACTGCTGTTTCCACAGCCTTTTTGATACCATTGCATCCTGCTTCCGGATGGGAATCGCTTAAATGGTCGCCTAACTGTTTTTCTAGTTGTTCCTGAAATATATTTTTCGCCTTATTATCATTAAGTAAAACCCTAAGAGGCTTTCTTACGGTGTCTTTCCTACGCCCAGTAAGCTTCAAACAAATACGCGCTCGCACTAGGGCATGATCTGAATCTAGGCATGTGCCCCAGAACGAGCGACAGTCCTCTATCGAACCCCTCCATCGGTGGCTGATGGTGATGTGATCTAGTTGAGTCCAACGTTGAGACGACTTTGGAGGTCGCCAGGTCAACAGATGCTTTTCCTTATGCCTAAAGTTAGTGTTTGCTAAGAATAGGCAGTTGTCTGAGCATGTTTACAACAGACGGTCACCATTGTCTGTTCTCTGAGCCGGGACACCATAACATCCACCTAGGTGTTTCTCCTGCTCACTTAGTCTACCTACTTGAGCATTAAAGTCACCAGCCATTATTACTATATCAGAGCGCCTAGCTTTTTGGAGGAGGTCTGAAAGCTTTCTGTAAAACTCATCCTTAACCTCGTCTGAACTGCATTCAGTGGGGGCATAGGCAGATACGATGAAGAGCCAACGGCCAGTGTCCCTATCTTTCCGAGTCCTTACTGTCCCGTTTAGTCGGACAGCGCACAATCGACTATCTACAGGGATCCAGTCAAGGAGAGATAATTCTGCCCTACGACTCAATGCTATGCCTACGCCAGCAAGACCCCTGGAAGCAGCATCAGGGCTACCGGATACACGAAGAGTAAATCGAGCTGCTTCTTTATTTTGACATGGTGTGGTCAAGTGTATGACGTGACTCGGATCCTGCATGCGCGTTTCCGAGACGCAGCATACATCGATGGCACGAGATTCTAAAGTCCTAGCTAAGGAAGCCTGTTGCCCTATTTGACACAATGTCCGTACATTAAATGCTCCAACATGTAGTCTAGAGCGAGGTTTAAGGAGACCAGGAACGACGTTTCGCGAACTCGTATCGTCTGCATTAGCTGTACACTGTGATGAATGAATGTGAGAAGAGTTAGTCGTGGAGATAAGAGAGGTACTAGGGGGTGTAGGAAGGATTTGATTTTGACCAACTCGGTCTCGCGTGCTGTTATGGGTATGAGGGCGGTTGTCACTTCCCGGCTGCCCACACCGTGGAAGGTTGTTTCTTGAGGAACCTGAAAAGGAAGATAGATTAGTGTTGGTGCGTGACCGCAGAGCCCAAGGGACAACTGCTTGAGGCCAGTCACGCATGGCCTTTTTATCAAATGTTTTTTGAGGATTAGCTCCGTTCTTAAAGGCCCTTAGTGGGCACCCTTACCCAAGGAGACGGAAATCCGTGAGGTAGGGGAGGTGTGACATTTTTAGGGCCGACCTTTTCTAACCCTTCGTTCCTTGTGAGAAGGCAGCATCGCTGCAGATGCTGGTTGTCCGAGGGAAACACCTTACTGCTGTCACACCCCTCTGCAGTCAGCAGTACGACTTCGCCCTCAGACCTTGGGTAGCTGCTTTTAGTCTCATCGTTCTCCAATCGACCTGCCTGGCATGGTAGAACCTTGAGGAACATATGTTCCAGCCAGTATAGCTCGGTTGGGTCATCACGATAGGCAAGCCCGACCACCACGTCAAGGTAGCAGCTACGGTCGGGTAACGTTTGTGACGTTTTCAACGTATACTTAGACTTCGTAATTTGTTCGTATAGGCAATGGTCACCAAATAGTGCCTCAAGGTTATAAGTCGGAATGCAAAACGAGGTCACTGAATACGTTTATACTTGCCACACCACAAATTGGCCAGCAGATCAAAAATGCACGGATTAGGGCAAGCACACTGGCGAGCGAATTCGTGATTGGATGATTGTAGTGGAATGGAGTAGGCTAGTGAGCCGATTCAAGTAGATAAAGCATCACTTATATTGTGTGATCAGACAAAAATACCGTTGACACGTAATAAGTGAGATAGGCAAGCACATGAACGAATAAAAGTGACGAATTATTGACAATGTCAAGAGACAAGTGTAACAAGTCATCTGAACTACAAACTAAATCAGTCAGCAGTGTTATTAGGCAACACAATGACAAGTATTTACGATAAAATGTTACAATTGTATTTTGCACTAATTCTCAACCATTGCTTTATCTATTCATTTTTTTTCTAGAGCGGAACTCTAAGTCCGACTGAACAATTCATCACTGATGTAAGGATAGATTCAAATAAATTTGAACTGATGTTGTTGTGTTATTTGTAAACTTTTCTGTATTTGACTGTTTGTATCTTTGTCAGAATAATTAACTGTAAAAAATTATAGATTCCTACACTTTTTCCTTATTTTTGCCATAGATTTTGCGAATTTGGAGAATAAGACGTATTTATAATAATATATTGCAGTGTCTGCCCGATAATGTGAGTATCATTTTGAATAATTTTCAACTGATGTTACTGTGTTAGTTGTAATTTTTTATATACCTGTCTGTTTGCACATAATTGAACGCAGTTACTTGTTTCAACAGCATATTCCAAGTAACAGATACAAAATAGCATTGAAGCAGTGATAATGTTTTCTGTGAGATGGAAGTTGTGAGTAATCAAGAGTAGAAGTTAGCCGTTGTTGTTGTTGTTGTTATTGAATGGTGAATTCACATCACTTCATGTGTGTTTGCATCACTACTCTGTATTTGTTTGTGTGTAGAATTGATGTGAACGTAGTAGAGACACTGGTGATAGGATATGTCATCGTTATGTTTGATTGTGTATCGTGTCATTGGTTTTATTGTGGTAATTTATTTTACTTCCTTAATGAGTTAAATATTGTGGCCATATGAAAACAACAACTTAGTTTTTGTTCTCTGGTCATTAATAATCTTTTATCTAATGTTTTTTATTCTGTGCCTTCAGTATCGCCTACTTTTGAGACGTGCTGTTTGGGTTATTTTCACGCTGCATGATTTGTGAGTTACTTTGTTTTGTCTATATTGAAATTTTACTATCCATTTTTCAAATGATTCAACTCAGTTAATTGTTTCATTCAATAGCCTTATTGTTCGATCACTTTCATTGATAATTTGATATGATGTTATGAAGTCAGGAATGTTGTATATTAATTGAATGTGATGTGATTGATGGTGTCATTTGGTTGAATGTAGTTTATTTTTTAATACAATTATTTCGTTTCCATAAGATTTGTTAAACCGGTGAACAACTGATCAATTACGTATTCCCACTGTTCTTTTAAATGTGATGTTTTATGACAACAGAAACTTGAAAATGAACATTAATTTCTGTTTGTTTTTTTCTGCAGTTGCGAAATTTGTTTACATGCCCGCAATACATTCCGACGATAATAACGGAACTGCATTTATATTTCTAGTTTTTGTTCATTATTTTTGTTTAATTTGTTTCTCTATACTGACTTTTATAGCGTACATACGCTTAGATTTCACTTGTTTCTTTTTATTTATTTCTATGTTTTTTTTCTAATATCATATCAATAATAAATTTTAGTTTATTGTTTGAATTTGTGTTCTGATTTTGCTTGTAATGGTGAAACATTGTGGTTGTTCAAGTTGTTTATATATATATATATATATATATATAGTTCGTTCAAACTGACATCACAAACTGTTCATATGATAATAGACTTATTTGATATGTATACTAATTTTATGACTTGAACAACTTACTAGGTTAGAGAAGTGATTGAACTTTGGGTTGTATTAATTATTTACCCGAATATGATTATTAGAAGAGATTAAGTGTATAAAGATGTTTATTTGATGTTATCGGTTTCATACTCTATAAAGTCATCTATATATGTATATATATTTCATGAAACCACATGAAAAGTGACTGCTGAAAGTGGTGAAACAAGTTTTGAAAGAATTCTGCACTCTGTTTTTTGTCCACAAATGTTGAGAGCAGTGAGGTTTGTAGTTATTGAATGTTCTAAAACAATCCAGTTCATCCATTTTTGATCGGGATCCAGCTGGAGAGTCTTATGAACTTACTGTCCCGCAGAGTTGTCCCCTAGACAACGCAGATACACTGAATTAGTTATTGTTTCTACAATTTCAGTTTTCTTCGTTATGGATGAATAAGTGGTTGAAAGATTAACATTGGGTTAACGGAAATTCAATTAACTAGATTACTTACAGGTGACCTACTATCACAGAGACGAATTAAACGGTTAATAAAATATCATTTCGATCAAAAACACTTGATAAATCTTTAGAATAGCTGATTTGACTCTAAAAGTCTACTAGAATCTCTTATTTTGGTGTCGGGAAGTATTTGTATGCTGATAAATGTGGTGTTATTCAACTGTAGTAACTCACTGAAGCATAATGGTAGCAAATCTGAATAGATTTCCTATGGATACATGTGCTTACAAAAGGCAGCCGAAGTTGATCTGATATTAACTGAACCCTGTAAGAAACAGAAAATGTTTATGACATGTGAGCATGTGATTACGGAACAACTAGTTTGTTAGTATAGACAGACAAAGATACAACGCAGAACTTCGTACGTACGTACATCAGTTCAGGTTGCCATACCGCATTAGCACAGAGACGCAACTGTCAGTTCAAACAACATAGTGGTATTGATAACAGAAGTATTAGCAGTAGTGAATGCGAAGATATGACTTGAGAAGTATAATTCAGTGATATAAATATAGAAAGTGAAAGATAGAGATGATGAGTAACTCTGAAGGTTAGATTTTGAGAGAACACTAAGTGGATGCACTTGCATCATTGAAAAGGATTTCGAGCCATGTCGTTCAAGTTCCCTAACCATTGGAGTCTTACATTTTGTGCATTCCAACCAGTTAGCCTACATTTGTGTGCTGATGGTTTAGTGGTCTATTTGTGCTGCACCAAATAAAAGTCTTCAACACTTCGCATTGTTCTTTTGGTTTTACCAACCGAGTGGCGTTATTTAGTAGTGGTTGTCTAAACGAGTAGTATGCGAAGTCTAGGAACTTATGGAATACCGACTGCCCTGAAACTAGTGAGGCACTGGCCACCGCAAGCTCACTGAGATATTGAGTCACTTATATTAGTGGCTGTATGGCGACCTGCTAGCAGTTCTCTTCCGAAAGTACTATACCTGGTTTCAGTGTGACCTAATTTCTTAGAAGAGAATGAAATCGGTTCCCGACTACCGTTTAAGAACTACTGCAACACGGCTTCGACAGTGATGTTCAACGCGTCAGTCATGATGGCTATTAGAGCTTCGCTTTTTCGGCGTTCTAACATCGTCTTTTACTTGAGCACGCAATCAGCGTTCTCGAATGTTTGTATAGCGTCTGCTGACTAATGAAATGTTTCGGCACATCCTAGCAAACCGTCAGTAGAGCAGTTCCAAATGTATCATCTATCATAGTTGATTATCTGAAGATGTAATTCTTAACTCGTGACCGTAGCTGCCACCTTGAAGAGGTGGTCGGGCTTGCCTACCGTGATGACGCAACCGAGCTATTCTGGCAGGAGCATATGTTCCTGGAGGTTCTAGCATGCCAGGCAGGTCGATTGGAGAATGTTGAGACTAAAAGCATCTACTCACGTTCTGAGGTCGAAGTCGTACTGCTGACTGCGATTGTTTGTGACAGTAGTAGGGTGTCTCCTTCGGACAACTAACATCGGCAGCGAAGCTGCCTTCTCACAAGGAAGGAAGTGGTTAGCAAAGGTCGACCCTAAAAATGTCACACCTCACCCTTACTCACGGATTTCCGTCACCGGCGAAAGTATTGCCCAATGAGAGCTTCCAAAATAGCAGAGCTACGATTCTACAAAACTCCGCCTGTAGAACCTTCGGCGCTACTCCCGGTCCCAACCCCGGGTAAAGGAGGAGGGTTGGACATAGGTTTGGCGACCCCATTCCGTCGAAATCTAACTTGCCAAAAAAACGCTAACGAGAAAAATTAATCCAAACCATTTTAACTCTGCCCTGGGATTTGGAAGAAGAATTATGACGTCGCGTGATGAAGGCCGAGTTCCCTCTGAAGTCACGGGGACGATGCCTCTTCTGCCAACCAGAGCAACCATTTTTTTAGGTACATGGAACGTTCGTACATTGTGAGAGACTGGAAGATTATTTCAAGTTGCGGCAGAAATGAAAAGATACAACCTCGAGGTGCTTGGCATCATTGAAACGCATTGGACACAGGCAGGACAACTGAGACTAGCTTCAGGGGAACTGCTGTTATACTCTGGTCATGAAGAGGAAAATGCTTCAGATAAACAAGGAGTTGCACTGATGCTGTCCAAACATGCACAAAAGGCACTGATAGGATGGGAATCTCATGGACCGAGGATCATTAAAGCATCCTTCAAAACAAAGAAAGAGGACATGAGAATGAACTTCATCCAATGTTATGCACCTACCAATGACTACACTGACAACGTTAAAGATCAATTCTACGAAAGGCTGCAGTCAATCGTCGAGAAACGTTCACTAAAGGATTTGACGATTCTTATGGGAGACCTGAATGTCAAGGTTGGAATGGACAACACTAGATATGAAGACATCATGGGACGACATGAACTGGGAGAAAGGAACGAAAGCGGTGTGAGATTTGCAAACCTATGTGCCTTCAACAAATTGGTCATCGGCGACACAATATTCCCGCACAAGAGCGTACATGAATCTACATGGATTTCATCGAATCATACTACTCAGAACCGAATCGACCATATCTGTATCAACAAAACGTTCAGAAGGACCATGGAGGATGTGAGAACCAGGAGAGGAACTGATATAGCCTCAGATCACCATTTGCTGATCGCCAAAATGAAACTGAAACTAAAGAAGCACTGGACAACGGGGCAGAAAACATCACAGAAGTTCAATACGGCCTTTCTTCGAGATACCGTAAAACTCAACGAATTCAAGATAGCCCTCACCAATTGGTTCCAGGCCTTTCAGGATCTACTCAATGGAGAGGACACAACATTGGAGAACAATTGGAAAGGGATTAGGGAGACAATTACTTCAACATGTCACGAAGTTCTGGGTCACAAGAAGTACCATCACAAGGATTGCATGTCTGTTGTTACTGTTGAAAAAATTGAAGAATGAAGGAACAAGAAGGCAGTAATCAACGTCAGTCGAACATAAGCAGAGAAAGTTAGGGCACAAGCTGCATACACGGAAGCAAACAGGGAAGTGAAGAAGAGCATCAGAGCTGACAAACGAAAATATATGGAAGATCTAGCAATGACGGCGTAAAAGGCTGCAAGAGACGGAAACTTGAGACAATTGTACGAAACAACAAAGAAGCTCGCTCGAAACTATCGTAAATCAGAACGATCAGTGAAAAGCAAGGAAGGCAAAGTAATCAGCCACACTGAAGAACAGCGAAATAGGTGGGTAGAGCACTTTAAGGAACTATTGAATCGACCAGCTCCACTGAACACACCCAACATCGACGCAGCATGCACGGACCTACTAATCAAACCTGACCCACCTCCCAATTGAGGAGATCAGTATGACCATCAGACAAATCAAGAGCGGCAAATCAGCAGGACCAGACAACAGTCCAGCAGAGGCAATGAAAGCACACGTGGAAGCAACTGAGAAAATATTTTACATCCTTTTCAAGAAGATTTTGGATGATGATCAGGTACCATCAGATTGGAAAGAAGGATACCTGGTCAAAATACCAAAGCAAGTGTGAGAACTACAGAGGCATCACTCTTCTTTCAATACCAGGCAAAGTCTTCAACAGCGTATTGTTAAACAGAATGAAGGACTTAGTGGACGCCCAACTTCGCGATCAACAGGCTGGATTTCGTAGGGATCGATCGTGTACTGACCAAACTCATTAGCTTTTGTTCGGTGTTGTCCTTTGTACAGTGTTTTGGCGTTACTCAATTAGAGAACTTGGCAGTGGCGACGATGTTTACAATCCACAATGTCAATTAACCTTGAACATTTAGAATCCTTACTGTAACGTCAAGTGAAATGATATGTACAGTTCCAGGACCGTATTTTGAAGATGTTTATGAAACAAATGAATCTGAATCACAGCGGTTTTACCTATGATTCATATAATCTGCAATGTGTGTCCTATCCACTTCCACTGCTTCTTCCTGATTTCCTCATCCACTGGAATCTAGTTTGTTCTCTCCCACAGTTCGTTGTTGCTGATGGTGTTTGGCCAACGAATACGAAGTATTTTGCGTAGACAGCTGTTAATAAACACTTGTATCTTCTGGATGATGGCTTTGGTAGTTCTCCAAGTTTCCGCTCCATACATTAGAACTGTCTTGACATTTGTATTGAAAATCTTTATTTTGGTGTTGGTTGAAAGTTGTTTGGAGTTCCAGATATTTTTCAACTGTAG